GTTTCTGCGTGATATCCGGCTGGGACAAACTGATATTTGTCCCAGCAAACGCCATTCTAACGGTGCGCACAATCCACGGTCTATTATTACCCGACCTGAAGCTTGGCCGATGACCGATAAGGGCCCTTGCTTTTGCGATACGGTCCTCAATTCTTTTTCTCCAGGCTGGGATGGCGCTGCTTTGTTTAGTAGCGCGTCCAGCCATGGGAAGTTTGGCGCCAATAATACGGCAAGCTGCCACTGCGGCGCCATAAAGAACTGAGTCCGTCTCGCAAAGGTCCCGGCTAGCTTCCAAATAGGTTACCAGCATTGGGTTAAGAGCTGTCACGACAGCCCGATTTCGCTTGCTTAGGGGTATGCGGGGAAGTCGCGGTCGATTTTCGAGAGGCATGCTGCGCGTTTCCAAAATCGCCTCTTCCAATATACTCCTCATTTGCTCTAGTTCGTGGGAGACCATTTCATCATCGTCCGAATCAACCACAACTGGAAGATCCATGGCGGCTTCTATGCGTGGCAGCTGGTCTGTCGCCTGAGGAGCCGTAGCCAATTCATTCGATGAGGGAATGGCCTCACTTCGTAGTCGTTCGAGCTCGGCATCATCAAATATTTTCGAGCGCATGATGTACCGAACTCGGTCTGCCAGATTTTGTTCCGTGACGGGAATAGACGGCTCCAGCTCAGCAAAAAAGCAACGCATCCGAGCCCGATACGCTATCCCTGCAGTTTCTTCCCCTTTCGCCCTATAGTACGCCCGCAATGCATTTGCGTTCATATCCCTTGTCCAACGCATGCGGCGCACTCCACCAGCGGCGGATGCCGCTTGTCGAGTCCGAGAGGACCCTGCCGACATCAAGCCGTCTGGTGAGGATGATGGATGCGGGAGGCTGCTAGGTGATCCTGCAGCTTCTCGCGCTCAGCTGGCGGCCCGCATGCTGCCGCGTCCAGCGCCAGCTCCAGACGCGCCCCGGCGACCCCCAGGTAGAGGCCCTGTACGCTTTCTATTAAAATCCATCATCCATTTTTGGGCGCCAATTAACGGGAGACGCCCAGGCCCGGCACCGTTTCATTGTATCATTGTACAGCCGTAAGCACAAACGGGCCTTTGCACACTGAGTACTGCCGAGACACGGCGCTCACACCTCTTGGCAAGGCGCTGACTGACTGCACCGACGTAGCAGTTTTGTCACTTAACTGTTTCGTCAGTATGGGGGTCGTCACTTCCCTACGCCTAATCATTCTTATTATTATTAATTTTTTAAATATTATTATTAATATTGTTTTTTATTGATATTATTATAGTTATTTAATATTATTAATTTTAAAATTATTATTAAAGATTAGCCTTCAAGATGTTTAACAAAGGTGAATTAGAAACATTTGATTGTTCATTCAGCAGTGCATAGTTACCATTATTATTTTTTTAAATCTCCAACTTTTCCAGCACCCCTTATTACAAGTATGTAAGACTTCAAAGGAATGGTCGCTGGCTAGGTTGTGTCCAGTGTCCAAGAGATGTTTAGCAAAATGGGATTTATCAGGATTGCAATTTCTGTACGCGGCCAAATGCTCTTTATAGCGCGTCCCGAAATTGCGACCGGTCTGACCCACGTAAACGGCGCGGCCTTCATCACAAACAAGTTTATAAAACCCGATTTTTGACTAATATTCAACTTATCTTTATTAATACAAATATTCCCAAGCGAATTGTTTGTTTTGAATGCCACGTTAACGCCGTTTTTAAGAGTATCAGCAATTTTTTCCGATATGGAGCCTAAGTAGGTCAAATTGCTCACATATCGCCGGACACTGAGATCGAACCGCGTACAAAGAATTGCGAACAACATGCTTTTGTTTCTTTTTAATAAGATTATTAATGAGATTTTTTGAAAAACCGTTAGAGACTGCAATTTGATAAATTATATTAAGTTATTTTAAATAATTTTCTTTACTTAATGGAACATTGAACAGACGGTTAATGTAACAATAAAAAGCGGCTAATTTATGTTGCAAGTAATCAAACTTTTTGTTGTCATACTCCAACAGCTCAAAGTCGTCACCTTGGATAACATCGTTAACCTTCTGGCTGTACCCGCTATTCTCCATAATGACAACAGTATTTCCCTTGTCGGCTTTAGTAACAATAAGGTTATTGTCTTTTATTCTCTGCTTTAGTGACATAAAAATGGGGAACTCAGGATTACAATGGGAAGATGCGGGTACATCCTGAATTTCTTTAGCTAACAAACTTTTAACGATGTTATCTTTCCTCCCGATCACAACAGCCACCTCCGCGTCAACGGCCACAGTCTCCAACGATCTTTGGGAGACCGAAGGTGTTAAATTATACTTTAGGCCTTTGTATAAAAGGGACAACTCATCCGTTGGAAACTGGACATCGGAAAGATTTTTAACGCGGGGATAAAATTGGTGATATTCAGTATGTATGTCGTTATTACGTTTACGGGATGAAGAAGATACAAGTCGTTTTAACTTATTGGACGGAATTTGATATTTCTCGTAAAGAGCCATTGAAGCAAGTTCTCTGGCTTTCCCATCCAAAATATCATATTCAATATTATGTAATTTATATGAAAGTTCAGAATATAATACTTTAAGGAGTATGTTAGGGCTGAATCTGAATGACAGGGTAAGAAATTGTGTAATAAGAGAAGAGTCTTTGGTGCAGGTTGGGTGGTTTGGTCATGTGGAAAGAATGAACGAGGAAAGAGTGACAAAGAAAATTTATGTTGCAGAAGTGAATGGCAGAGTCGGAAAGGGACGTCCTAGGCGAAAATTTATCGACCAAATTGGCGATTTATTGAAAACGGGCCAAATTAGGAGTACCCTTAACCGACGAGCATGTATGCGTAGGTGTATGGATGTGAAGGAGGCGAGAGGTGTGTCAGGTTCGTGCCAAATGGAAGTCTGTAGTCTCTGCCTACCCCTGGGTGTATTTTTTTAAGTTATCTCTATTGGAAAACCAACGACGACACTCCTCATTAAGCCAAATATTCTGAGCTATAGAAATGGCAACACTGGCCGCTCGACTATGTGTGCCAGAACTTATTTGGATATAATTGGGAATAACATGAAGTTGTTTGCACTGCTGATTAAACCAAACATTTTGGGCAGCAATACGATGTAGTTTTGTTAATTTAATCTACCCAGCGACCATTCGTTTGAAGTCTTACATACTTTTAATAAGGGGTTGCGGCTGTGTGTGCTGGAACAGTTGGAGATTTTAAAAAATAATAATGGTAAAAATGCACTGCTGAATGAATAAACAAATGTTTCTAATTCACCTTTGTTAAACATCTTTAAGGCTAATCTTTAAAAATAATTTTAAAGTTAATAATATTAAATAACTATAATAATATCAATAAAAAAACAATAATAATAATATTTAAAAAATTAATAATAATAATAATGGAAATTGGGCTTAGCAAGAGCTGTGCTCGATAAAATTCAAAAGGCTGTTATCTTGAGGACAACTGCCATTGTGAGGAGACATTTATCCTTGTAAACAAATAATTTCCGTAACATCTCATCATAGGGATATCACCCCATAAAGAGGAGTAACCGATTCCCAGGACCAGGACCCAGGATTCCCTTTGAAAAAAATTCTTTGTCTTGACCCTCCCAAAACGCGCTTCAACAGCGGCCATTACTTCGCTATCGTCTTCGAATTTCTTGCCTCGGAGGCGTTCCTTGAGCCGAGGAAAGAGGTAGAAGTCACTAGGAGCGAGATCTGGCGAATAGGGAGGGTGTTCGAGCAGTTCGAATCCCGTTTCTTGAATGGCAGCCATCGCAACTGCGGCTTTGTGAGCCGGTGCGTTGTCTTGGTGAAACAGCACTCCAGCTCGCAGTTTGCCGCGTCTTTTTTCCTTAATGGCCTCCCGTAATCTTCTTATTTGGTATGCGTTGTAAGAGCCCGTAATAGTGACTCCCTTTTCCAAATATTCCACCATAATTATGCCTTGAGCGTCCCAAAAAACAGATGCCATAACCTTTTCCGCCGAACTTGAAACTTTGAATTTCTTTGGGGAGGGCTTCATGTCATCGATTGTTGTTTCATTTTAGGATCAAAATGGTGGATCCAGGTCTCGTCCATAGTCACAAAATGGAACAAAAATTTTTTTTGATCTGCTTGGAACTTTTTGAGATTGACCCTCGAAATGTCAACTCGATTTTTTCTTTTGCTCGTCGGTTAACATTCTGGGTACCCAACGCGCAGAGACCTTTTTCATATGCAACTCGTTCGCAAGGATTCTTTGAAAGCTGCCATATGAGATCCCTGTAACCTCAGCTACATGCCTGATGGTCACTCTTAGATCTGCCAACACAATGACTTCTTGTATCTTCGACTTTTTTCACGTTGTCTTCAGTGAGGGACGTGGATGGGCCTCCTTCGCGATGTGCATGTTCAGTGGATGTTCTGCCCAGTTTAAACTCCTTGGCCCAGCGTGCAACTGTAGAATATGGAGGAGCAGAGTCCCCCAATGTTTCCACTAAGTCACTGTGTATGTCTTTTGAAGACATTTTTTTCAAACAGAGGTACTTGATGACAGCTCTAATTTCGTTTTTCTCCATGTTGATGTTATCTCTTTGACAGTTAGTGTTCAAATGAATGTATCTCCCGGAAATCGTGATCTATTTATATGATTTTTTAGGCCTACGTAGTGAGTATATAGCAAGCAAAAAATATTTTTTTTTGGATTTTTATGCGGACCTGAAGTAACCGATTATCATTACTTTTGGATCACCCCTCGTATATCATAACTGCAATCACAAAGTCATATGATCATGAACAGATTCATCAACAATTTATATCATATTAGTAGATAAAGATTAGCCATCTACTTATATCCTATCTGCAATCACTACCTAACATCAATTAAAACTTTTTTAATACATATAATCGCTAGGTTTATAAGCTGTTGATGGCTTTTTAGTTAATTTAATAATCAAATTTGCATTATTTTTAATTTTACGAATTCCAGATGGACATTCTTATCAATGGAATTTTAGTGGAAGAATTGTCTACTATTGTTCACACCTCACGCTTAGAATATAATGCTAGAAGGCTAACGGAAAAATTAAAGGAAATGATACCACGACAAATGGTGCAGGTAATTTTTTTTATAAATTTGAAGAGAAACAAACTTACAGTTCAACCAACTTAACTTACGTAACAGGCTGACAGCAAATTTTTAGATTTTTTTGAGATTTTACAAGCATTATTTAAAAAGAAAAACCGTGGAACTGACTTTAACTTCCAAAATGACGCCCCCTAAAATTTGGAGTCTGGACCAATGCCCTTCTACGTCGCTGAAACGCCCCACAGCCTGTGATTATACTGGATTCTTTGACCATTAAGTCGGGCAGGCTCTGCTGCTTGGCGGCAAAAATTTATGGTGCGGTGTGATACGTACCCAGACGGAATCCTGTCATTTAGTTACTACTTACTGTTTTATACTTATACTGGATGACCTGAACGGTACTTATAAGCTGTGAGACCAAAGTAGATAGAAAAATTCGTCATGATAAACTCAAAAGTACCTCAAGTAAACTGACCGTGGAGAAACTTCCCACCAAAAATCCGCTACTAAAATTAATTGGAGTCGACATGGACCTAAATAATAAGAAAATCGAAGGAGCGGTACTGAAACAAAATGGTTCACTGCTAAAAGAAATATCAACCTCACAAATACACATAAAAGTTGTGAGAAGGGTCAAAGGCCGTACCAACACATTAAACAACGTAATTGTGGAAGTCAGCCCACAAGTCTGGTCAAGACTTAAAGATAAGAGAATAAGGCTTGGCTTCCATATCGTCTCAGTAGTGGACCAGTCGCCCTTAATTCAGTGCTACTCTACTATTCTCACGTCGAGCTAGTGACAGTAAGGCCGATACAGCAATTTGTGCCTACTGCGCCGAGCCACACGATACATGAGAGTGTTGCAATAAAAACGAAGCTCCAAAATACACAAATTTTATCAATAAGAAAGCAAATGATTGGGCATGTACTCATCCAGCCTATAGCTCTGAATGCCCTGAATGGCAGCGGTGGGACAGAATTGCAAGATCTTTAACATCCTATTGCTAAGAACAACAGAGAACAGACAAAAGACATCAGTTCAGAGAGAATCAAAATTGCTCAAATAAACCTCGGTAGAGGACAAGCTGCACTACAAGTAAGTATACAAGCTACTGTGCAGCAAGGTTTCTCAATTTTAATGGTCTAAGAGCCATATGTTGGAGCTAAGGCTCATGTAACTTGTAAGCGTAGTTATACAAAAAGACACTGGTAACAAAGGAAAACCAGTCATGTCGGCTGTCATTGTTGTTAATCCGAATATACAGTATAGTTTCAACCAAAACATGATAACAGATAATTTAGTTATATGTAATCTAGTATAAATGAATTTTGCATAGCTATAACTAATGCATATCTCGAGGAGGGTATTGGCTGATATTGAAGAAGATCTCTGCAAAATTACAAGATTCATAGAAATTCTCGACACCGAGCACGTTATTCTTGGAGGGGACTTTATTGCCAAAAGTCCCTGGTGGGAGTGCAATGTTGAGGATAAACGGGGTGCAGTTATAGCTGGGACCTTAGCACAACTAGACCTACAAATATTAAATGAAGGACAAACACCAACTTTTCATGTATGGAGAAGGGCCCGAGAATACTCCAGCATCATTGATGTCACCACAAGCATGCCAGTTCTACTGCATAAAATAACCAACTAGAAAGTGAATCATAACTTAGTTACACTCTCAGATCACCGTGCGATCACTTTCGAGATAAATATGAAAAAACCAAATATAATGACACATAAAAAGATCTCAACGCATATTTATAACAAGCAAGGTAGACTGGGAAATGTTCTCAATACGACTGAGAGGAGAACTAAATAATTCTAAGATTACACATGATGATGAATTATTAGAACAGTGCATCAACACATATACCAGATGTAGTCATAAATCTTGTGAAGATACTTTAAGAAAATACTAAAAAAGACACAATGGTGGAGTAAGGAACTACAGGAGAAAAAGAGGGAGGTAATAAAGAAAAGGAGAAAACTAAAATATGTTAACGAAAGAAGGAAACTGTATGTAATTGAAGACTACATACAAGCTAACACCGATTATAAAATATATATATATATATATATATATATATATATATATATATATATATATATATATATATATATGTATATATATATATATAAAATTCCTCAAGATGGAAGTAATGACCTCAAGCTGGAAACAGTTCTGCTCCAGACAAGACAAGGAAAACATGTAGCAGAGCATATACAGGATAATTCGTAAAAATTCAGCAGCAAAGGATGACACATTACTAAAATCCTCTACGGGAAATAACACCTTATACCCAGAGCAATCTGCCAAGCTTTTGGCAGACACCTTCTATACAGTAGACGACAACTCCACTGACGATGGAGACCACATAAAAATAAGGGAAAATGCATTAGGCATCAGAGAAGACCTTAACAACAGTACAGTATGCACTCATACTATACCATGTACCGCCACTGAAGTTGAAACTGTTTTCAAGGACATGAGCCCCAAAAAATCACCCGGAGGAGATGGATTGACTGCTGATATTTACTTTAACAAGTGTCTATATCTTTAGGATATTTTCCACAGATATGGAAAAACGCAATCATTCGCGTTATTCCGAAACCAAATAAGGAGGATTATACTCTCGCAAAAGCATATCGTCCAATAGGCCTATTACCTTTATTGGGGAAGGTACTGGAAAATCAATTTGTTACCAGACTCACATGGCAGCTTGGCCACGATCATAAATTAAGCGGTCGGCAATATGGTTTCGTCCCACACAGGGGTACAGAAGATGCATTATATGACGCCCTGGAGACAGTAGAGGATTGTGTGAGAAACAAAGAAATAGCAGTTATTGTTTCGTTGAACATTGGAGGGGCTTTTGACAATGCGTGGTGGCCAGCCGTGATCACAGAACTACAAAAGGAGGACGTTGATCCAGCGAAACGACTGGCCTATAATATATACACACGGTAGCAAGATTTCGGGTAAGGTTGTTGCTGCAGTAAGCTGCTGGAAGGAAGGAAAAGAGGTCCACAAAACCAAGTTAAAATTAGGCAACTACTGCAGCGTCTATCAGGCAGAACTTGCTGCTATCCTTAAAGCACTAACAATTATAAAAACTAAACGTGATTTTAACAAAGCGAACATACTTAGTGACTCTCGATCGGCCCTAGAATGCCTCTCAAATTCAAGCACCGTTCATCCCATAGCAGCAGAAATATTGGCCAAAATTAATGAAATTCGAATCAACCAGGGGAATGTAAAGATGTATTGGATTAAGGCTCACTGTGGCATCTTGGGAAATGAAAGAGCAGATGAATTAGCAAATCTGCAGCTGAAACATCTAAACAAGCACCGGTCTATGATTGCTTCCCGCTGTCTTACCCAAAGCGCCAACTCAGGGAAATCACCATTAACATAGGGCAAGAAAGATATAGCAAGGCGGAAACTGGAGCCGTGACAAGAAGGTTCATTCGGGATGTTACAGAAGCATACAAAACAATTAGTAAAATTAATGTAAATAATTAAATATCACAAATATTGACAGGACACGGTGGTTTTAAAGTCTACTTATTTAGATTTAAATTGGCGGAAAGCCCCTAATGCAGCTGTGATAGTCAGACTCCACAAACAATTGAACATATTCTTTTAGAATGTTCTAAATTTCACTTAGCAAGACTGGAATGTGAACTGCGTATGGGCTTTGTGAATAGTCAACTACTTTCTTATGAGGAGGAAAATAAAACTAAATAAATGTTAGAATAAGTGTTATCTATCAGTTAGTAATAACATAAAAGTAATATAAAAAAAAATGATAATTAGGTATAATTTAGTATTGCGACAATTAAAATTATAAATAGTCAATGTAGACATAAGTAGATTAAGAGTAAAGATATCAATGTAATATATAAGTATAGGTAACACGGAATACTGAAAACATGTACCTATTGTAAAAAATAAAAAAAAATTAAATAAAGACTAGAGGAATGAACAAAAGATCAAAATTCATGAGAAATAAAAGATGCTGTAAAATAAAAAAAACAGCAGGAAGAAAAACATTAAAAAAAAACATGTGAACGGAGTGGTAGCCTATGGCACTGATATTTTACAAATAATAAAAACAAAAATGTTGAATTAAATAGATAAATAAATTAAAATTTATCGAAATTCACATCATATCCACCCTACTTTACGAACGGCAATAAACAATAAATTTAGTAGGCATCTTTGACCTTGTCACTTCGCAGGGTCACAGGCTAGGGTAGATATGATTTGAATTTCGATAGATTTTAATTAATTAATTGGTTTAATTCAAAATTTTTGTTTTTATCATTTGTGAAATATCAGTGCCATAGGCTTCTACTCTGTTAACATGTTACGCTTTATTTTTTCCTGGTGCTAAAAAGGTTATCCAGTATGAAAAAATTAAACAAAAAAAAGTTTATATTAAGTTGTATCATAGGAAAAATTCTGTCATTTGTCAATTAGTTTGCTTTAGCTACTTATATAATCGGTAGTCCACCATCGCAACCTACATTTATAGTATACTTAATTGTTACGTTAATTTCGTGAACGCACTACGCGGCAATCGTCCCGATACCATCCACACCATCTGGATGCTTGGCGGTCCACCACTGTACGTTTCAAAAGGAGTTTTCTTCCGCGTACAATCTCTCTGTGGAATAGTTTACCACCTAGAAACCTAGAAAAGAGCTTACTCCTTTCTCAAAGGCCGGCAACGCACCTGCAATTCCCCTGGTGTTGCGGTTGATCATGGGCGGCGGTAGTCACTTAACATCAGGTGAGCCGCATGCTCGTTTGCCCCTCTTCTATTAAAAAAAAAACTTATTATTGATGAAAATATAGTATTATAAAAAGATCTCCAATTTCAGGTTGCAATTCAAGCAGTAGTTTCTGGGAAAGTGTATGCAAGAGAAACATTAAAAGCATACAGAAAAGATGTAACTGCTAAATTGGTAAGTTTAACTTAACTTAAAAATGTGCAACTAAAATTTAATCTTATTTGTGTGCGTTTTCGACTTTAAAAGTAAAAGAATTAAATTCCTTTCGATGTACTACAAGATACATTTTGGAAAGACTGTGCGCCGGAGTTAATTGACATAGTTCCTCCCTCTTCCTTTCACCATCGGCCAACTAGCCGTTCGTTTTTTTTTTATAGGATAGGATGCAATGCGATCGAAGCGAGCACAAAGTCCACTTGATGGTAAGTGGTTGCTGTGGCCCATAGACATCTATCCTCGATTACGAATCAAAATGCAGATGCGTTGTCATCCGTGAGGAGTTAGGTGGAATGCCTTGTTTCCAGTAAAAAGATTATTTATATTATTTGACCACCCTATTGTTGTCGACATATCACGTATTGGAAACAAACGGTTTGCTTCGTAATTCGTTATACATACAGCAAAGGAGTGAAATAATATGCCAGCATTTGACTTTCCATATCAGTTTAAGAGAGTTAATAGACTTTTATAAAACTAACTCAATACCATCTTTGCAGCATAATTAATATTTAAATCACTAGCTATTGGTATCAGTTCCATTTCATTCATTGCAGCCTCTTAAAGTCCACAGCTGAACATAGGCTGCCACAGATTCACTCATTTCATTCAGCTTAAATTATGACGTCATTTATTGAATTAAAGTCGTCATTAGATAGGTAAATAAGAGTTAACTAAATTCATGAATTTTAGATAAAATAAATGATATCCCTTATTTTTATAACCTTTTAATTACAATCTTGGAACGGTTTCTCAACTTGAATAACTCATGCTCAAAAAATTTATTTACCTACTGAATTGCTGCAAATTTTAGGTTTGCCTTGGTTTTACCAATGTTTCAAATATAATAAATTGCTTTTTACCATCCCACTTAGTTGATTACATTTTGACCTAAAGAGGGGGGGGGATGTTCCATAGTTATATTTAGTGAAGGGCACCCTGTTTAGATGATACTATATGGCTAGGCGGCCATAAACTAGTGGAAGGGGACTGTAATGACTTAAGGAACATGAACATCTAAATATTAATTGTCGTTTCTTCGAGCTTTATGGCCGGCCCATTGCTACTTTTGCTTATGTTTTGAAGTCTATCACATAGAGAAACCCCTAGCATAGCTCCATGTGCTCACGGCATGAATTGCTAAGCAATTTTGAGCTTCCTTATATGAACTTCACATGTTTTTTTATATTGTAAGGGTGACAAACAAGCACACAGTCCACCTGATGGTAAGTGGATGCTGTGACTCATACATCTACATTTCTATTTTAAGAATCAAAATTCCAGTGCGTTGTTACTTCTAAGGATTAAGATGGAATGTCTCGTTTCCAGTAAAAAGGGTATCCGATTCTCTGCACTCACCATACAAAACACAGTAGTATTAAGCTGCTATATATATAAACCCCGGTTGAGCTGACCCATCCGTGCTACAACCATAATATAGTTGCAGTGTGGCTCCGCTACGTTAAAAAATGTACTCATAATATTTTATATGTCAGACAGGCAGGTTTCCTCACGATGTTTTTGTTCCCCGCCGAGCACGTGGTAAATCAGCACTTACAAATTTATACATGTCGGCGGGTGTCGAAATCGGTTTACTCGTGTATAAGCCCCGCACGTTGATATCGCGATGGAACCTTGTCACAATAACAGCTGCATGACATCATCCACCGCAAAAAAGTACAGTCAACAAAAAAGTTAATCTTCTTTTCGGTTTTTACCTCTGGTGAAAAAGTTAATAACCTAGGGTTATAGGTATTTATATTATATTCTATACATATATTTATAGGTATTTAATTATAAATATTTCCTATTAAATTACCTACTAATATAACTGACGTGAAAGTAGTATTGTCTGTTTGATACGTTTTTATTAAACATCTCAACCAATTTTAATAGACAAATAATAAATAAATAAATTAGTCTAGAATTATTAAATTGTATAAATAAACATCGATTTTTTAATATTTGGTGTATTAAAAAATCGATGTTAATACTTGGTGTATAAAAAAATTGATGTTTATTTATACAATTTTATAATTCTAGACTAATTCTTCAATTCCACTCATATTATTATTTAAATCAGAACTAGTTTCAGAGTCCATTGTATCAGATTCACTATCGTTTGCCGTATTGATGATAAATAATTCGTCAGTTATTCGGTCTTTACGCTAGTATTCTTCTTCAAGTCTCTTCACGTGATTAGCTCCTTTCTTCCAATTATCTAGAGTTATTGACTTCAACGCCTCCAAGGTCAAATATTCAATTTTACTTTCTAATTGTTCTACATTCTTTTTTGTTACTCTCTGTTTGGCTAAGTTTCAAATATATTCGATAGAATTGAGGTCGCAGTTATATGGTGGCAATCTTACTACTTCATGGCCATTGTCAGCTAATAATTGTCGATTCTATAAATTTTCGGCGGTTTATGCTGTTTTATTAATAAATATAACTCCGGTTTAGTGCAATTATTTGAAAAGTCGATGTTGTGAGCTTAGAGACACTCAAACATCACCTGTTTCCTTACAATGATATGTTGTCCATTACAATCATTGAATTGCTTCGTATGTTGGGTATCAGTTTTTCAGTCAGCCACTTTGTGAAATTCTCAACGTTCATTTGATCGTGATAGTCCACGGTTTTTGTGTCTGCCTTAAACATTAAAAGTGCATTATCTACAAAACCGATTTCACTTCCCGCGTGCACTATTATCCATCGACGGCCATTTTTACAGCGTAGTGTGCGTGTATCCATGTTTCATCGAGATAAAAACAGTTTTTTGGTTTGCACCTAGCAGATCAGTCTTTCATGCGGCGTAAATATTTAGCCCTCCACGCTTGAATTTGGGATCTTTCCATTAGAGCCAGTCTTTTCTGGTACCATCTTTTAAATTGATATCCTAAATCACTTTTGATTATTTTTCTTAACATCACTTCCTGTATAATTAAGGTCTTTTTTTGCAGCTGCCATGATCTTGCGCATTGTAGGTATTTTTTTTCTCACCGTATATATAAAATGAATTATATTTCTTAATATTGTTAAAGAAAATCCGTCGAAATATTCCTTTCTATGTCTCTTTGCTTTTGTAGGAGTTTTTTCTCTCTCGTCGTGATTTTGTCCTTGTATTTTTTGCAATGACCGTAGCACAGGTCACACGTTCCCTCACTTTGGTAGAATTTTGTAAGATTTAACCCTACAGTGCACGTTTTTTTTTTGGAAAAATATTTATGTGATTACATTCTTGATACTATTCCTAAGAAAAATATGGAAAAAAATTTTGTGGTAAAATTAAGGATATAAATTAATTTTTGGTATGTGACACATCCCCTTTTTACTGAAAGCGAAGCATTCCACCTAAGTCCTCACGGGTGACAACGTATCTGCATTTTGTTTCGTAATCGAGGACAAATGATCTTCATAAACAATAATTATAGATAGCAGAAATCAAAAAACAGCAACTTGATACAAATGATCTAAAAGAAAATTTACTTTTATTGGTGATGATATGCCACAAAACAATTTTTATCTTTATTCAGACAAGGTGCGACGCTGCACTTTTGTCAAGTAACAAAATGTTTTCTCTTAAAATCAGGATTTTTTTATAGGATAGGATGACAAACGAGCACACAGTCCACCTGATGGTAAGTGGTTGTTGTGGCCCATAGACATCTATCCTCGATTACGAATCAAAATGCAGATGCGTTGTCACCCGTGAGGACTAAGATGGAATGCCTCGTTTCCAGTAAAAAGGGTCTCCGGTTCTCTACACTCACCATACGAAATACAGCAGTATTAACCTGCTATTTTACGCTGGTATTCTGTGAGAGTGTTGTCCTTCCCCGGTCGAGCCGACCCATTCGTACTACAACTATATTACTAATATAACTGCTGCATGGCTCTACCACGTATAAAATTTGCAACATTGCCTCGATTTTGCTCAATGTGGAAAGTGCTCAATGCCTTCTGGTCTCGATTCTTTCGGTGGCACGATAGCTTTAGGTTTTTTTTTCGCTCCTCAAGCTTATTTGCCAATGATGTAGATGGACGGAAGTGAGGGTCCAGATAGACAAAGAGTTTTCGCCACTTCTAGCCTGAATTCACGCAGTTTCAGCTCTCCTACATTTCCTTTCTGCTGTTGGACTCTTATATAGTATCCAAATTTTGATAATCATGACATCCAAGAAATGGTAAAATAAGCGCATGTACCATTTTCGTGTGCGCATTTTTATTTTATGCTTCCCAATAAAAGAATCGAGAAGATCCACTCCACCCATGTGACGGTTATACTGCCGAATAATATTGGAACAATCGACGTTTATGTAACGTTTTCACTTTTTACGAAAACGCTGAACTATTTCTTTGGGCTGTTCACCAACAAAGGAAGATGCAAGAACCACTGCTTTATTATCTAGCCATCACTGCAGTTATTGGTACCCCATCTACGGTAGCTATCCATTCTTCCGAATAACCACGAGTTTTCTTTGCTCATAACAACTTTATGAGATGCTAATACAATATTTTTCCTCAGACGATCTTTGTTGACGGTACCCAAGGAGTGAATCCCTAACTTTGATAAATATGCAATTAATTCTGGTGAAGTGTAATAATTATCGATAAATATTTTATAAATTTGAATTTTTGGAACAGAACGATATAAATGCACCACGGTATTATAACTTGCACCTAAATCGGGTTCATCCTACAATCTCAGTTCTGGATCATTTTCACTTCTTGAATATATTTCAAAGTCATAAGCAAAACCGGTGTCATCGCACAAAATCAATAACTTATACCCCCACTTGTGCGGTTTATTAGGGAGATATTGGCGTAAGAAGTTGAAAGCTTTCGTGGCGCACATTTGTTCGTCGACTGAAAGAGTTTCTCCTTTGAAGATGTTTTGACATTTTTTCAATGTTAAAATTCATATTACTACGTAATTTTTCAAAATCTTTAAGCGTCATAGTATTATAGATCGATGGCAGCTCCATTTCATTGTACATATACGCACGTTGGGAAGTGGTATGAGCCCCATTATAAGAGATATCCCTAAGAATTTTTTTTTAGTCTTCAGTAGTAGTAACCAACAGAGGCTTCGACGGTTTTTTAATATATTTTGTAGATTCTTCAGCAATGTGCGGAAGTAATCTTCGTCAAAAATATAGAAAGTACTGCAGGGGTGAATCAAAGCTGACGAACGGTTGCCCAAAGTTCTCATCACCAGTAAATGCAGTACATGGTGGCTAGAAGCATACCTTACGCCATATATATCTGCGTTTGTTTCTAGCAAGTTTCACAGGAGGTTTGGTTGCTCTAATAATTCAATTTGTTCAGGTTGCTCTAATAATACTGGACTTCAAGGAGCGTCACGTCGGATGGTCACACGGCCGGAGATACTAACTGGTTGTGGAGATGTGGTCATCGTACTAACATGACCAGACGTACTAGGTTGAGCTTGGCTCTAGTCAATATAATTCTCCAACATATTAGTTTCCTGTGCGCTGGGGGCACTAAGATCCTGTGGGATGGGGCACTAAGATCCTGTGGGATGGGGGAACTAAGATCCTGTAGGCTTGGGCCACTAAGATTCTGATTCAAATAATTGTCATGGAGTAACTGGTGACTGACCCAGCCCTTGAAGTACTAAATCGCCAATTCTGCGTATTTCATTGTCACTATCTTCATCTGACAGTACCATTCTGTCTTCACTATCCGAAAGTATTTCTAAAAAATGCTCAATAGCGTTTTTAGTCAATATTTTGCGAAGTTTCATCTGAAATAGAAATTATTTAAAAATTACAAAGCTGCACCATGTGCTGTATCAGGTACATCCAAAAATAAGTTATTTTACATCATTAACTATAAACTTACTGTTAGTAACTTACTGCAAGTTATTTATTTCTTTTTTTTTGCAATATTTTTAACGAGTAAAACTGATCACTTGTGCAAGTTCAACGACAAGATAAAATAAAGTTTGTCATTATTACTGGCGACATCTTATTCCATGTCAGTAAACTAAATGTTTATCATCTTTTTGTATAATATCGTTACTATGAGATAGATGGCTTTGAAAGTAATCTCACAAAAATTTTGGCACTTTTTTCGTATGTTCCATATTATATGGTATACCACGCGCTGTAGGGTTAAAATGTCCGTCACAAGTTGCTTTGAAATTAACATGCCCTCAGTAGCGTCCGAAGCATTTTTGGGCACGGTTTACATTTTGAATCAATAACTTAGAGTCCTCTTTCTCCTTTACAAAATAATTGTCCACTTTAATAATCATTTCACGAGCACGGCTGTTAATTTTTTAAATTCAAAATATAAAAATCAAGCTGACACACAAAATGAATAAAGATTGCCACCAGTCGCAATATCAAAGTGCGGGGCTTATACTATGAAATTCATGGCGAGCCCTACCCCTGAGTTATAAGGGCTTCAATAAAAACGCCATAAATTATTTTGTAACGGACTTGTTATATAATTTGTTTTATATATATTATTTCCACTTATTTTACAGTACGGAGGTGATGTCACACGCAGGAAGAAGCTACTAAAACAACAAGCAGAGGGTAAAAAGAAAATGCGAAGTGTGGCCAACATCAAAATACCTAGAAATACATTTATTGATGTACTCAAGAGATGATCGTTGTGATTTTTAGTTAATATAGATTTTTCGTAATAAATATGTTAAAATATTTATACAATAAAATAGGAAGTTTGTTATTCAACTACTACTACTAAATTTCTTATAATAAGTAATCCATTTCGAGGTTCCCTACTTCTTTTAAAGAAAAAAAACACAGAAAATTCAAATTTAATGGAGAATGTTTATTATCATTTGAAAGAACATTCTTTGGCATTTTTTTTGAGTATGTCTTTACAAATGTTGGCCGTTGCTACGTCGCAGATGGTCCATCTGTTGAGTCCAATTTTCGATGACTCGTTCGAGCATTTCGACTGGTAACTGGCGATTGACACGCGTGATGTTTTCCTCCAAGGCCTGAATCGAAGCGGGTTTGTCCGCATAAACTTGAGACTTTACATATCCCCACAGGTAAAAGTCTAACGGTGTGATATCACACGATCTTGGTGGCCAATCGACCGGCCCAAAACGTGAAATTATGTGCTCACCGAAATGTTCTCTCAATAAATCCATTGATTGATGCGATGTGTGGGAAGTGGCGCCGTCTTGCTGAAACCAAATGGCGCCTAGATCACGAGCTTCAATTTCAGGCATCAAATAGTCGGTTATCATAGCACGATAATGGTCGCCATTGACGGTTACGTTCGTATAATATGGTGGAAAAATTCCACCGGCCCACAAACCACACCAAACCGTTGTTTTTTCTGGATGAAGTGGCAGTTCTTGAATCTGCTCAGGTTGCTCTTCGTCCCAAATGCGGCAATTTTGTTTGTTTACATACCCATTGAGCCAGAAATGGGCCTCATCGCTAAACAAAATTTGCCTCGAAAACGTCGGATCTTCTTGAAACTTTTCAAGAGCCCATAGAGCGAAGCGATGTCGCTTGGGAAGGCTTCAGTTGTTGCACAAGCTGTATTTTGTACGCTTTCAATTTAAGATCTCGACGTAAAATGCGCCAAGTCGTTCCATACGTCAGTCCGAGTTGCTGCGAACGGCGCCGAATCGACTCTCCACGGTCTTCGTGTACACTCTTAGCTACGGCCGCTATATTTTCTTCCTTGGTCTATTCAGTCGAATATTATCCAATAATGAATGCTGGGTCTCAAAATGGGTGATGGTGTTGCGAATAGTACGCTCAGTAGGCCGATTATATTGACCATATGTTGAGCGAAGTGCACGAAACACATTCCTCACAGAACGTGAATTTTCGTAATAAAGTTGAACGATTTGTAAACGTTGTTCAGGCGTAAGTCTTTCCATTATGAAATGCCAAACAATACTAAACAAAAATAACATGGCAGCATGACACGTCTCACCGTGATCTGTCAAAAAAAGGGTATTGAAAAAAGTATCTCTACCTGAATCATCCTTTACATATATCATCTCCTAAGTCTTCTGCAGTTTCTTCACTATATATATATGTATTTTTACAAGTTGCCTTTATTCATTTAGAGGTGGTAAATTTACGGAGACATTAATTTATTTTATTATGACGTTATATAGGCGTGAGTCTAGCCAAGACGCAGAGAGCGCCATTGAGAATAACGACCCGCCCAAACAGCCATCACAGAAACCTAATGCCACAAAACGCAATCAATTTTAATACGACTATAGACGGAATTACGCCATATGCCATGGGCGAAGGTACCCACTTAACATGAAGTGAACCAAGTGTATGCTAGTTTGCCCCATCTCCTATACCAAAGTCTCCCACACGATCCCAGTAGTCATATACACCCGCATACTGCACAGAACCACAAGATGCATCTAATCAGTCGCAGCTTACCCGCAGTTCAATCACGACGCTATTCGGCAAGTATCAGTAACCAACAATGGAGCTTTCACACGATGAAGCCCCACGACACACTTAGGGTTCTGAAACCGCTTCGCATGATCATATCGAACGCTAACATTTCTCTCTCTCTCTCTCTCTTTCTCTCATTTATCATTTTGCCATATGACTATTTTGTCTATATTTTTTATTATTTTTACAACAGGGTATTTACTAATAAAAAACGCGGCGAGATGCCACATGAGTAAAGAAACTTTACGGCGGTGCGTCGTCGGGTTGGTTACGCCGCGTATGCGTTCATAGGCCACTGCATCAGGTGGACTGTATGCTCGTTTCTCTTCCTTGTTCTATTAAACCTAAAAGAAGCACCAAGTAGTAGCACGCTTCTAAGCTAAGACGCGATAATTGATAAGTCCGAAAGACGCTCTTGACCTTGTGTATTTTCTCAACAAAGTTTTAAAGATTTTACATTTTCCTCGCCGATTAGCACTTTAACGGACTTCAATTCATCACAAGGTGTTCCTTGTGATGAACCTATTATCCTCCATTTTCATTAAAAATCTTTTAAAGAGCATAAAATTTCAAGAGACACAACAAAAACAAACATAAACATTGAAATGTGAAGTAAACTTGCAAACGTATCGCCCGCGCGCCTGCGCACTCGGATACAACTTCAGAGCATAGTACTGCTTTTGGTTCCATAGTAATTGCTATATAAACATTTCGTAGTTATATTTCATTACAGAACATTTTGCCACAGGTTAAAAAGGGAGCGATCGTCTTCCCGAAAGCTAGGTAAAAAACCCACGCTTGCGAGAGAGACGACTAATCGCTTTCATTAATTTTTACAGTCCATTGTGTGTTCGCTTTGAGACAGAGAGAACACGAATCAGTGTATTTCGAATTGAAAGCAAACTGCCAAGTGTTGACGTTACATATATGCTACGAGGTCATGACCTGTGTAGAACAGAGGAGCGCGCAGGAAATTTGAAATAGTTTGAAGCAATTTACGAGTTATTTTATTAGCTGATATTATGGATTGAGCAGTTTGAAAGAGCAAGCCTGACTTTTTGGCTTCTATGGAGGCTTCGCCACAAGCCTAGGCAAGGGGTATATATGTTCTGTATGCCTAGGCCATATCAGTTATCGAGTTTACCGCAGTCTCTGTACCGGTAAGGAAATTTAATAATCCCTTTCAAGACTCGTTAAAATGCTATGCATATCTGAGACCTTCCACATAAATGCTACAGGATGAGGCAAAAGCAATCATCCGATGTTCTTTGGCTGTAATTTTTTTACAAATGAAAAGGTGGTTCTGTTTGTGGATTATTTTAGTTTAATGATTACAGTAGAAACTCGATTATCCGGCCCTCAGTTTTACGGAACGGAATACCAGCGTGAAATAGTAGCTTAATGCTGCTGTATTTCGTATGGTGAGTGTAGAGAACCGGAGACCCTTTTTACTGGAAACGAGGCATTCCATCTCAGTCCTCACGGGTGACAACGCATCTGCATTTTGATCTTTAATGGAGGATAGATGTAGATGTCTATGGGCCGCAGCAACCACTTACCATCAGGTGGACTGTGTGCTCGTTTGTCACCCTATTCTATAAAAAAAAATACGGATTTGCGATTGTAAGCGAAGCATTATAAAATATTTATTTATTATGTGACTATTTGTTCTCTAATGCTATTTATATATTATGTATATTGTTTGATTCTTGTGTACCGTCATGTTAGAAATAAATTAAGTAAGAAGCGCTCTCGAACAACCGCTGCACCTACAAGTACATTATCGGAAATCATTCCTTTCCTTCGTCGAGCAGTTGCGCACATACACTCGTTGCACGCGGCACGGTTCTTCGAACGCCTTTAATTTACTCGTGAAATCGTGGTTTCATTCTATAAACTATAAATTGATCCTTCGCGCCAAATCTAACCAGGACTACGTTTAGTACTCCACCAAATAATAGAATTATGTCGATTAAAAACCGCGAAAAGTTAAACGAGAGATTAGAAAACGCGTCCGAGCTCGTGCTTGCGAACGACAGAGTTGCGGGCAGTTTGCAAAAGTTGAACCTTCTGGAAATAAAGTTCCATCTCTGCAAAGATCGACTAAAAATGAATCGGTCACCTCGGCCACGGAATCTTCATCGTCACGCTTAAGACGTAAACAGCTTGAGCTGGCAGCTGCTGAGGAAAAAGCAAGAATTCGGATGAAGCTTATTGACAAAAGGCTTGAGTTTGATTTAGCAAAGATGGAAGGCAGCCATGCGTCAGAATGTCAATCAAAGACGAGTCAAGTTAGTAGAAGCATCAACAAGCAGCCTTTTGTGGAGCAGGAGCTGGAGACCAGCAATTTGCAGCAGTCACCTTTACTGCAACATAAGGCGGCAGCGTCAGCGACATCGGAGGCAGCGCGGGCACCTTATGTTGACCCAGTCCGTGCACCGGCCCACCACACGCCTGTCAACAGTATCCTTCAAGTCGCTCACACGCTGAAAAACATTAAGGTTTATTTCATTACTTTTACTTATTTTTAATTCCCGACGTTTCGGGTGCTTTAGAGCACCCATGGTCACGGGGGGGACTGAGATGTTTGACGTCCCAATGTCATAGTTAGTCCGGCTACCTTCAGTTTTTAATATTAATTTTTGGTCCGATTTACGCAAAACCAGCTTATAGTATCATGAAGTTGACCTACCAAGACGATTCCTACCAAGGGTGATACGGGAGGCTATTGAAATTAAAAAATCATCTAGTAATCAAGAGGAACGATTGCTTACCCGACTGTCTACACTTAGATAACTACCTCCATTTTTGAGATTGCATCAAGTGGTTGCACTTTAAGGGTGCCTATGAGGAATCTACATGTGTATGTCAATTTAGGGACTCCGAGAACCTATGGCGACTACGTCGAGCACTTAAAGGATGATGCCAAGGAGGCAGTTACTGACCTATTAATCGGCAACACGTCACCAGCTGTTGTCATGGAGGCACTGGAACTGAGGTTTGGTCAATCTGATTTAATTATTCAATATCTCACTTCTCAAATGAAAAAGCTATCTCCATTGTCTACTAATTATCAGTATGATGTCATTTTGTTTTCAATGAAAGTTAATAACTGTGTCGCAACCCTATACGCATTAAATCAGCATGATTATCTACGTAGTCCAGAACTGTCAGCTACATTACTCTAAGCTACCTA